GAGCTTTGCTCCTGTGTCATTCTCAGAGGGTTTCCTCACTCTAAACCTCTCCACCTGCTGTGGCTGCAGCTGTTTCAGTTCCTTTCAGATCAAAATAGCATCTGAAAGGGACTGAGAAACAGAACAGAAAAGTAGACTAAATTCATTTTTAAAAAATTTTGACAGAGATCCCCCACGTGAAGATACTAAAGGAGAGCTGCTAGGGGTCACCTAGAGACATCTGGGTAAAGGGCAAGTGAAATCACAGAATCACAGAATGGCTGTGGGCATCCAATCCAACCTCCCAGCTCAAGCAGGGTGATCACAGAGCACATGACACAGGATTGCATACAGATGGTTTTCAAAGAAGTTTCTCCAGTGAGGGTGACTCCACAACTTCTCTGGGCAATCTGCTCAGTGTGGGATCACCTGCACAGTAAAGAAATTCTTGCTCACGTTCAGGTGATGCACTTCCTGTGCATCAGTTTCTGCCTGTTACCTCTTGTCCTATTGCTTGGCACCACCAAGCAGAGCCTGGCTCCATTGACACCCTCCCCTTGGATACTTACATACAAACAACTGCAGTTGTGTTTAGTTGTTTTTAGCATTGCCTTGCTAAAAGATGGATAAAGAATAACGCTGACAGAAATGCCAAATAACTTCCCAGCAAATACCTGGAGAGGGAACATTGTACAACCTGTGTGAAGAAGCTGCTAAACTGCATCAATGGGATGTGATAACTAGTGGGAGGGCCACCAGCATTGTTTCAAGTCCTTGGGCCGCCACCAGTCCTTTCTGAGGGATATTATGCACGGAAATCACAGCTGTTGGATCACCCAGCAGTCAAAGTAAACATCGAAGGAGACGTCTGAAAAGGGGGTCCTACTGCCAGGAAACAAAGGACAGATTCAGCTCCAGAAAGAAGGAAGACCCGTATGAGCTTCATCCTTCAGGTGAAAGGCAGAAAGTGACACCACTTTATCGAGAAATTCAAAGCAAGGCAATTGACGATGACAGAATACTAACTGGGATGTCCACAACACCCTGAAGCTCTCCAGGTGACTGCTGTAATAGCCACGAGGCATGTTACCCTCCAGGGCAAGGAGGATCCAGTGTAGGAGCCGGTTCCCTCAGGGAAGGCATAGACAGTGGGATGTAGTTGAAGGTGTCAGAAAAACTTGAAGTACGGGGTGGGGAGTTTGCTAATTAAAACAAAACTGTTTCTTGCTACTCCAAATATACTTTCAATTGGGTAGGATTACAATATTAGCCAGAAATGAGGAGTAAGTGTAGTACAGTGTGATGCCGGTTCACCTAGAAGATGCCTGGAAGGTTTTTTCCATTTGGAAGAAATTCTTGGGACAGATATGAACAGTAGTCCCTCTGTTGTGGAAAGCCATTTGTTGTTCGCCATGTTTTATAGAGGATCTGAAAAGGGATAGAACATGGAGAACTGCCATAGCTCACAGGACTGCATCTCTGCAAGAAGCATAATCTTTATTGTCTCTAACCAACAGAGGTCCTAAAATCGTAGCTATGCAGAGTATGGCATTACCTCTTCTTCCTCTGCTCTTGGAGAGAACCTGCAGTGCAGTAGGGCTGGGAAAAAGCCTGCATGGCCAGACTTCTGACAGTGTGGAGATAAGCGAACACAGGAAGCACCCTGGACCGCTCCCAGCCTGCTGGGTACGCCTGCTGTGCAAACCAGCCTCCTCCCAGCCACTCCCAAGTCACACTCAGCTCCTCCTGAATGAGGATACTTACAAGTCAAGGAGGCAGCGTGCTGCAGAGATGGAAGACGTGGGGAGACAGGAAAGGTACTGGGCTGTTGTGCTCACAAGGCACTGGGTCAGTGATTAGGAATGAATTCCTTACCAACTTTCAGTTAAGTGGGAAAAGACTGAAAAAACACACATCCCAGCATACTAGGATAGATCTTAGCAAACCGTGACCTTTGTCACAATGACTAAGCAGCTACATTAGTGAAACAAGTCTTTCACAATAAAGAGATGCAAGCAAAACTCTTTTCCTGAACAACTGGCAATATCTGTATCAGGCTCAATGTCCATAACTTTAACCTGTGAACAGGCGTTCCGTTGGAAAGTTTGTGGTGGCATAGGGAGTCATCTCCTTCCTCTTAGACACTAAGAGGTAATTGCTGCACAACCCCTAATAGTGCTTTTTTTTTTAGTCCCTCTGAGCAGAAAGGAAAGCATAAACCAAGTATTTAAATGACCCTTGAAAAGTTCCACCTGCCAGGATGAAGCTTTTCCTATTGGTAGGATAATTTGCTTTCACAGCTCATATGAAATAAATACTCTGATATTCACCTATCAAAAACGAGATGCTGGGCTGGAAGGCCAAGCAGGGGAAATGCGCACACAGTAGTCAGATATGCTCTTCACAGTGTGTTTGCTCTACCTCTTGAGGATTTATTTCAACTTGCACCTTAAGAACCAACCAAAATTTTCAGAAAAAGCCAAGATCTGGTAAACTTGCATTTGAAAAAAAAAAAAAAAAAAAAGAAAAAAAGACAACAGTAAAATCCTATTAGAGTTCAACTACACTGGGCAAGTTAAACATGCAGCAGAAGACACACAGTGGTGTTAATTTCTCAAAAAATTGATCTCTCTGTAGTCCTTTTACCATCCTGCATTTACACCTAAAACCCTAATCTCATTTTAACATACTAACCAGCAAGACAGATTTCTTAAGAAGATTGAATGTATGTTTTTTTTAGTCTGTGTGAGAAAAGGAGAAGTTAAGGTGTTTACTGGCTAAGGAGTAAAGATATTTAGAGAGCTTTTTTGAACAGTTTTTAACGGATGCCTTTTTTTTCCTAAATAGTTCTCAGTGGCAGCTGGACTGAAAAACAAAGCTGAAGGGGTTTCCTTTCAAATGCAAAGCAATTGTAGGCTTGAGCCATAGCCTTAAAAACGCATACAGAAAAAAGGAATAATTTTCATCTATAACAGAAATGCATTCACTAGAAGGGAAGCAAATGGTGTCCAAAAAGCAACATTTGTGATATGAGAGGCCACGCCAGCTTCTCGAGTGCAAGTTACAATATGTGCTGACAGCTTAAGCAATGCAGGGTGCAAGATTAGTCACTGCTGTGCTATTCATAGTTGCTCGTTTCTTCACTGGCAATTCGTAGAAAAACATAAAAAATTCCAAACACAAAACTTCAGTTTTTGTTACAGGGAAAGCATTGAGAAGTCACTGTGTGGTAGCGTCTCATGCGTAACTGTAGCATTGAACTGAATCCTGCAAGGATAACTGCATAATGAACAAAATAAAGTTCAAAAAAAAAACCCAACAAAAAACCCACAACTGAACAGTTGTAACCGGTTTTTAAGCAATTAAGGATTCATAAATATACTGCAGAGAATGAATTCAGTGCAAGCTCCTGTAAACTTATAACCTGACAATGTTTTGGCTGCACGGTACAGTGTTTTAGATAAAACCAGAATCTGTTAGGATGAAACTGACAGAATATTTACTGTAAACTTATACAGTTAATCAGTGAGATTTTCACAGATGTTGTAAAGGCTTTAATGTATTTAGTAATGTGTTCTTACAGCATCAAGACTTCAAGCTTCTCAAGTAGGACTGCAGAATATGCTGGATTGCTTTGGTAGCAGGAAGTACGCAAATTTTATTTCTCCATTCTGAGAGGAAACAGAGTTTTGTTTTGAGATGGGTTTATTTATTTATTTGTTTATTTCTTCTCACTTACTACCTTTTATCATAAAAGTGATCTAGTACTTTGAAAAAATGGAGATACTTACCCAAACTTCTGCAGCATGCAGTCAGGAGCCGGCCAAGTAGTTTAGACTTGAACGAGGAATACTATCCAAAATCTGGATAATTTTGCTTTTATATTCACCTTAATTTTTAGATTTTTCCTTTGTTATAACATAAAACCTCAGTGTAAATCACAAGTATTTTAAAGTTGAAGTGAAAACTGAGCATGTTGTTTTAAGTAATAGTGGCATTTTATCTGGATTTTAACACACCAGTCCACTATCTGAGATGTTACCAAAAGCCAAACTTAGAAACACAAAGCAAGTATTTTGGCAAGACATTTTATTAAGATGTCAAATCTTTTTTGTTAGCAGCCAGTCATTGAAAACCGTCTGTATACATGTAATTTAGTCAACAAAATAGCTGTCCAACTTTAGGCGATGTGCCCAATTTATGTAGCTCAGTAAGCTCTGAAGTGATGCTCTTCGTTGTTTTAAGTTCTCACATAAACAATTACCAGTCTTCACACATATTATAAAGTATGATTACATTCTTCTCTCAAAAGTACAAAAAATAACGCTTTAAATATGCACTGGCTCCTAAGCTTAGACAGAATCCTGTCAGGAGGAGAATTTTGCACTTCAGTAGACAGTGCCTTCAACATCAATAGCTCTTCAAAGTGCTTGGCGAAGTGTGTGAACACTATCCCCACTTAACAGACGATGAAATAAGGCACAGAGGTCAACTACCTTGCCCCCAGTCGCACAGAGACTGGGCGGCAGAACGAACAGAGCAGAATTAGGGCTTTTCAGTTCTCCAGTGTAACCACCACAACCCACTGCCACTATTCAAATGCAATGGCTTAAGCATTTCTGAGGAGCAATACAACTGTACAGCATACAGTGAACAGAAGGGAAGAGCCAGGGCCAGTTAAAGGCTGCAACAGTTTCAACCCAAACCAAACGAATTTGGTAGCCAGTAAATCATAATGCACTTCAGGGAATGATCACATAGAAAATTATACATTAACCTGCAAAGGGAAAGCTCATTAAACATAAGACATATGGTGTTAGCTTTGCAAAAAGTACTGGTTATCATAAGATTGACAGTAGCTCAGGTAATGTTGACATTGTCAGTGGTACTTTCTGACCCACAGATGTCTTAAACACTGTTCTTCTACCAGCAAGGTGCACTTCTCTGGAGAGTCACAGAGAAATGGAAATAAGGAGCCAAATATCTCCTCAGTAGGCATGGATGTGTATCAGGCACAAAACCCCACATTAATCATTTGTGAGGAAAAATGAAAAAAGTCTAAATATAAATAAGGTTAAGAAAACTGAGTCACCCATCTAAAATCACCAAGAAATGCATCCTCAGATAGATTACGCTGCAGAAAAATAACAACAGTACATGTAATCCCTGTCTGGATGAAAAGCATGCTATGGCCTAGCTGTCTGATGGCAAACATGTGTTTCAGAAAGCCTGTCCTTGGGTAGGATGCTCACAAGATGACTCATTTACTGACAGAGACTGCTGATGGGATTCAGAAACATGCACACTTTGATTCTGTTCTTCACTGATTTGATGGGAAGAAACTGTATCCTGGCTAGAGTGAGGCCGTTGACTTGATTCCTGAGCCAGCTGCACACGCTGAGCTGGATGTGAAGATCCTGCTAAGTGGATTTGTTCATTTTGTCCTTGATGAGCATGGAGATGTTCTAGTGCTTCCTTGGAAAGAGTGATTACATGCATTTGTTCAGGCTGGGCAGCCTCTATTTGGTTTGCCATCATACTGATACTTTGGATTTGTTCTGGTTGCTCCTGCTGAGCTGAAAGCAGCAAGTTTTGCAGCTGCTGTGGTGGCTGCGCAAGCAGCGTGAGGTTCGCGGCCTGCTCTGTTGTCATGTTTGGGGCGTCTTCTGCAGTGACAATACTAATGCCTTGATTATGGCTAGGCACGAAGTTGATGTTGTGCACGGCATCTGTAACCAGCAGTTGAATTTCCTGCCCTCCAGAGGTGGCAAGTTGGTACTGCTGCAGCTGCAGTATGTTTCTCACTTCTGGGTGAGTGTTGGTGCTCCGGGCAGCGCTGGCTTCCTGAAACTGCTTTTCCTTGCTGTGAATTTTCAAGTGAGACTTCAGGTTGTCCAGACGAGCAAACTGCAAACTGCATTCTGGACAGGAGAAAGGCTTCTTGCCTGTGTGTAAGATACAGTGTCTTCTCTTAGCACTGGAATCAGAGAAGGATTTTCCACATATACCACAAGAATATGGCTTTTCTCCTCTGCAAAAGGAGAAAATTTGATCTCATTAAAACATTCACTTAGACAGTGTTGCTTTCTGAAACTTGCATCACACTGACAAGGGTAAAAGACAACTAACGCTATTAATGAGACATGATAGATCACAGAGTGACGGGACAATGCTCCAATAACCTTGTTACACTGTGCCTACTGTTCCGCTGTCGCACAAAAATTCACAGTAAAATTTTCACATAACTAATATGGCAGTAAGTACGCTGTCATTGAACAGACACAAAACACCAAAGGACACTCTTACAGTGTCCTGGCACACGAATATTTAGCAGTTCGGTACTTTCAATTGCCTCTTATTTCCTTACATAGATTAAGCACAAATTTTAGTCTTTACCCATCCACCCAAAATGCAAACAAGTTCTGACCATTCTATAATCGAACAAGCACTATATACAGGTTATCAGATTAGAAGTTACATTTTTAAAGAATGTAATGAAAATTAGACATACTCTACCTGTGAATTCTAATGTGAGTCTGAAGTGAACTTTTAGCTGTAAATGATTTGCCACAAATCTCACAAGTGAAGGGCTTCTCACCTATCAAAAAGAAATGTGACATCACTTTTAATAGAGCACTTCTCATCAATATATTGAAAACATTTTATATTTTACCATACACAGTATCAAGTGAGCACTGACAGTTCCTCACATTTCTGACATGGATCAGGACAGATGTCCAAAGCTGAATTAACTCACTTAGTCAAAATGAGGGTATAGCATTTTAAATGTACACCTCTGGCATTTCTCCCCTTTGAAGATAAAGAATTAGGTGATCCAAGCCCTCAGAGCAACCAAAAGCTGTACCTGTGACACAGATGTGGTTGTTCCACATGGAACAGAAATGTTTTGAGAAAGGATGGCCCTGAACCAGTAGGCATTAATGCCAGGATCACATGCAGCACCATGCAGATGAGTAAGCCTGAATTTCCACAGCTGGAAAGTGAATCCGTTATCTTAACAAGTTGGCTGGCTTTCTCTAAGGCTCCATCACACTGGGCCTATGATATTCTGAGAACACCAGTTTGTTTTGGGTTTTTTGTTTGTTTATTTGTTTGGGGTTTTTTTTACTACATTTGGAATTTTTGTGTTTAATTGAGTGGAAGCAGAAAGGCCAATTAAATTATAGGAAGGTTCACAAGAAACAGATACTACCCAACCAAAGCAAATCCTGATTTACACCATAACAAATCCCTGGGATTGTGTTGAGGTTCTTTAAGACACCAGACATCAGAATCCAGATCACCACTGCGGTAATTCATACCATCAGAGCACACTAAACCCAGGGATTTGACAGCAGCCAGTTTCCAAGGAAGCTTCACATTTAGCATAAAACTGCAATGCTTACCTGCCTTCATATGGCTTTGGAGGGCAGGAATAAAGGATGAGACAAGAAGAAACACTTGTCAGAAGGGACCTCTAGTCCTCTAGTCCCAGCCTATTACTGAAAACAGGAGTAACTTCCCACGTAGACTGTATTATTATGGCACTGCTGCCAAAGCAGAACAGGCATATCAGTGTTAACACCTGTCCCCAAAATGCCTTGGAATTTTACTTTTTGCTTCTGAGATGGGACAGATCAATTATTATTTCTGCATAATTAAGACTGGTATCTCGCCTGTCTTTTCTGGAAGCGAAATATTTTGCAAGCGAGTTCCTGCTAGAATTCAGCTTCATCTGTTTTTGCAACTTCCTTTGTGATTATCCTTCTTCTTCTCATTTCCCACACTAAACTCCTTTCCCACTACATTTAGAGAGCTTTATCACCTTCAGCTGCAAAACTGCTGTGTGTGTGTCAATAGTATGCTGGAGACTGAGTTACGTGTTACAACTGCAGACAACATGGGAAAGAATAATTTGATTTTGGGAGGAAACAATTGCCACTGTTTACAGTTATTTTAAAAGACAAAATTATTCGCACATCACCTTATGGACTTACCCTTCAAAGAAAACTATTTTAAGAAGTTTATGCCTTGTTATTACAAGCAGGTAGATCAACATTTTTATCTGTTCTCCAGTCATTCACTACCACCTTGCCCTCTAAAACTTTTAAAATACCTTCTGACACACTTCCTCCCAGCCCACCTCCTCTCAATATCCAGTTTATTATAGTGCAATAAAAAGGTAAATGGAAATAATTATTTTTCTAGTCACAGCCCTTTTCATAAGCACCCATCCCTCACAGACAGGGGTGCCCAACTCATTTAGGACATACACTTTCTGTTACTAATTAGCTTAATGAAAGCCCCATAGATGCTGAAAACAACTCTCCGGACAAACTGAATTCCCAAACTAGGATTTTATCATAGGAGAGCTAACTAGCATTTTCTGCAGTAGGCTTTGTAAAAATGGAGGATAATCCCTCTTCCTGTAATAGGCACTGCTTCTGCTGCTGTAAAACAAGCTTTTTTGTGCTCCTGCATTCTTGACGTCAAATCTCTTCATTAGCAATACAGGCTTCATAAAGTGCAAGTAGAGCACAAGTTCCACAGAAACAACTGTCATTTGCCCAACACGGTTTTGCCTATGTAACTTCAAGAAAAAACAAACCACAAAACCCACAAAAGACAAGGAACAACATTACCTGTATGTGTTCTTAGATGTTTCTTTAACTGAGCTGCATCCATGAATTTGCGACGACACTGGTTACATTCCGGCAGTGAACGGCCTTGTCGCAACAATAAAAAAAGTGTCAGTGCATAAGTGATCCCCTGTATCTCTTCAGTGATCTTTGTTAAAGCACTTTCCTGTAAAATAACCACTTTGATATAATATAGAGATAAAACAAAAGGTGATTCACTGCCTCCTCCCTGTCTTAACTGTCACACTCCTGTTTCTCTATTAAATATTACCATGGGAAAAGAGAGGACTGACAACTGCTCCTGAAGCTTTGTAAATTCTGATTTTCTCCACCACTTCCTGTGTGTGTAACTTCATCTCCAACCTGCTCCAGAAGTGAGGAGGACACTTCCTAAAGCTTGTTTGCCATTACTAGTCCAAAGCAGTGGACAACTACAAGGCAATTTGCACACCAGGCAGCTGACACAATTATTTATATAATTCTTAATTTCGATGCAGCATGGACAGCAGGGCTAAAATAATACAGTTTTATGTCAAATACAGCATAACTAAATTTTAATCATTGTAAGAGGCCTTCTCAATTAATGATTTTTTTACACTAACCGTTTATCTTTTTCCCCCATCCACTGTTATATCAAGATGTGACACATCAGACACTAAATACATCACTGAGGAAGAAGTTTCAGCCTTAGTCAATCTTTGGGAAGACAAATCAGCATGGACTGTAAGCCAGCTCCTCAACCCAAATTTGTTATACCTGTGTGTACTCGATAGTGGCTCTTGAGCTGTCTCTTTTGGCTGAAGTATTTCCCACACTGATCGCATGTGAAAGCCTTCTGCCCTGCAAAGAAAATCACTTATTAAAAAGTAAGCCACGTCCAAAGCAAGTGGAAGAAAATAAATACATAAGCCAGCACACACGAGACAGAGCAGAAATACCTTTTTTCCAGAAAGGCAAATTCTTGGAGCAAAGAGACTACATTTGCCTTGAACTATTTACCTGTATGTAAGCTCATGTGCTCCAGAAGAGAATGCTTTGTTGTCAGAGCCTTACTGCAGACGGTGCACGTGTATGGCCGTTCCCCAGTGTGCATTCGCTCATGGACCTGAAGAGAATGCTTCTGGGAAAAGCCTTTGCCACACTCACTGCACTTAAAAGGACGCTCTCCTGAAAGTAAAAGGTGACATTTTTAGGTATAGATGCATCATTTCTCACTGGATATTCTAAGCTGACAGTGAGATGCATTACAATGCAGTAGCTACAAAAAAATTACTCCTGAGCAGTGGTGAGAAGAATTAAGAGACAAGCTTCAAATAACAATAATTCAGATTATAATTCTGAATTCAGATAATAATTCTTTAACTACTGCCATATAATTCAGTCTTTAAAAAGCAAATTAACTAAACTGCAATCAAGATGAAAAATAAAGGCACTGAGATCTGCTGGCAAGAATAACGCAGCGAACACAGGAGACACACCATAATTTGGATCAGCATACTATTTTGGATAGCTCTTGCTTTAGAAAACAGACAACATTTCAACAACTTGCTCGCATTTAGCACCATCATGAAATCCTAATCCAAAAACAGCAGCCTTTTAATGCCTACCTGTATGACTTCGCTGGTGAATAGCTAAGAAGTGATTATACTTAAATACTTTGCCACAGTCTTTACAGCGAGCTTCAGAACCCGCACGTTTTCTTTTTCCATCGGTTCTCTTTGCCAGTCCTTTTTCATCTTCATCCCCGAGAAGCTTATAATCCTTTAGTTTGACTGATCTCCTTATTCTGCGTTTGCTGTAACGGCTTTGAGTACTCTGTATTCCCTCAGATTTGGGATCATAGTTTTCATCTTTCTCAGCTGAGAGATCAATGGCAGCCTCTGAGCCACACGCAGGTTCAGCTTCTTCTCCATCTTTCCTCACTGAAGCCTGTTCACTGGCAACTGCTTCTTCTGCTGCAGTATCTTGTTTCACAAAATTCTGCTTATTTTGCATGGAGTTGTTCTCTCTCAGCTGCACATCTTCGGCAGAATTTGCTCCCAATTCTTCTTCTTCTTCTTGGACAACCTTGATTTTCCTTGGTCGCCCTCGTTTTCGCTTTGGTGGGTCTTCATTTTTGTTGTCACTTGCAACAACAGCTACAGAGGCTCCACTGTTAGCTGGAGCTGGCAATGCATTACCTGGGCTACAGCTGGCCAGGTAGTCTGTACAGACCCATACCAAGTCAGTAACTTTCAGCAGCTGTGCAGTAGCCAGGATTTGTTCTGTGCTTTTCTCACTGGCACAGAGGCAACCAGTGTAGATGAATTCCAGCAGAACTCCAAAGATGTCTGCAACCATTCCCTCCAACATGTAAACCGACTGTCCTATTTCACCCTCATTTACAAACATCATCGAGAAGTATTCACTGCTGGCAGCCAGCAAGGCTTTATGGGCTCTGAATTGCACATTCTCCACTATCAAAGTAATGTCGCAAAGAAAATCCTTTTTCCTCTGTTCTTCAAAATTAGCTAGAATGATATCTTTGTGAGCTTTGGAGTGGATGATGACCAGTTTCTCAGAACCATCAGGAGATGCTTTTGCCATTTTAATTATGAATACAAAGGAGGTGCCTACAAAAACAGAATAGCTTTAATAAAGACTTATTTTAGCAATCTGCATTACAAGACACCAAATATAATCTGTTTTACTAGTAAGAGTTCAAGAGTTTCTGAAGCAATTCTGAATCCTCCGAACTTTTGAAAAATCAACACTATTGCTGACACAAATTTTCTTCAGAAATTGTTTTTAAATCCTATGAAACGGCTACACACAGTTTCTTTGATCAGAATCACTGCCTATCATTTGTTTATCTCTGATGTACTGAGAACTCTATTATCTAAAAAAATTGCGCCCCGTTCTGAAATCTCCTTTCCTAACTAAAATAATCAGACAAAAAGAATTGTTTGTTCATGGCTTCTTAGTAGAGTACTGGGTTCGCATGGCAAGGTTTTGTTACTGGGGCAGCTACAGGGGTGGCTTTTGTGAGCTGTTAAAAGCTTCTTCCATGTCCTACAGAGACTTCACTACCTGGATCCAGGACGGACTTGCTGCTGGCCAAGGCTGAGCTCATCAGAAACAGTGGTAATGCCTCTGGGATAACAGATTTAAGAAGGGTGAAAAATACCCCCACAACTGAGTTAGAGAGAGGAGTGAGAAACAGCCCTGCAGACACCAAGGTCAGTGAAGGAGGAGGAGGAGGAGGAGGTGTTCCAGGTGCTGGAGCAGAGGTTCCCCTGCAGCCTGTGGTGCACATCATGGTGAAGCAGACTGTCCCGCTGCAGCCCATGGAAAACCCCACACCAAAGCAGGCTGGGACCATTTGGGAAGCTGTATCGGAGCAGGCTCCTGACAGGATCTGTGGTCCTTTGGAGAGAGAAGCCCACACTGGAGGAGATTTCCTGGCAGGGCTTGTGACCTTGTGGGGGACCCACACTGGAGCAGCCTGCTCCTAAAGGACTGCACCCATGGAAGAGACCCACACTGGAGAAGTTTGTGAAGAACTGTAGCCTGTGGGAAGGACTCACTTTGCAGAAGTTTGTGGAAGACTGTCTGCTGTGGGAAGACATGCTGGAGCAGAGGGAGAATATGAGGAGTCCTCTCATTGCAGAGGAAGCAGTGGCAGAGACAATGTGTGATGAACTGACCACAGCCCCCATTCCCCATCCCCTTGCACCACTGGAGGGGGACAAAGCAGAGAAAAGCCTGGAAAGAAGGGAGGAGTGGGGTGACCTGTTTTAAGACTTGGTTTTATTTTTCATTATCTTGGTCTGATTTCATTGATTTCACTCAATAAACTGATTTCTCCAACTCAAGTCTGTTTAGCCTGTGATGGTAATTGCTGACTCATCTCTCCCTGTCCTTATCTTGACCCATGAGCTTTTCATTATATTCTCTGTCCCTGGTCCAGCTCGGGACAGGAGTGATGGAGTGGCTGTAGTGGGCACCTGGCATCTAGCCAGTGTCAACCCACCACACTGGAAACAAAAAAGGTCAACTGCAGTTTCATCATTGCAGATTATTCAGGGATAAGGCTACGAAATCCTGTTACTGATGATAAAACTTCACTCGTATCGGTATGGCAAAACTTCATGACTTCTTCTACCCACTTATGTCATTCTAAAAGTTTCTTTTTCATAACACTCTGCCTACTAAGCTTCAGCCTCAGCCTACAGAGGTAGGCAATAAAAGCAGAAAAACAGCAGCATTTTAAAGCAGTCTTGTCTAAAATAGGGTTGATTATGGTAATTATTAACTATCAATTTGACTTGCTAAGAATTGTAAATTTGCAAAAATTAATAACAAACAAAAAAATTCCACAAATTTCAGAAGAATCCACCAAATGTTATTATGGAAGATATGTGCCCAAAATGTCCAATTTGTAAGGCTCAGCTGAGTCAAAGATAAAACAGATTATATACTTGACATCTTAATTTATACAAGAGTCATATCAAGCACAAATAAATTTGCACATTTGTATTTAGGGAGTGCAGCAGTTTCCATCACCTGAACAAATGCTGCATGAATAACACTACCTACAGATGATACCTAAATGCTACTGCAGTGGTGAAAAACTGATTCTTTAGCCCAAATCATCTACCAAATAGTTCATGGTGGAGTCAAATTGTTTTATCTGGGAGCTTTAATTTCTGGAGGATGTGAGGCTGATGTTTGTTGCTGGAACACCTCAAGGCACAGCTGCAGGTGAGATACAACTCTGCCTTCCCGTGCATTCCAAGAACTCCCAGAGAGCTGCTGCCAACCCTGCCTGCAGGCATACCCTGACACCCACACGTGTCAGATAGGGTAGTGGGTATTTTATGGCTTTCGACTGTAGCGAGTCAATAACTAAGCGATCCCAGGGGAGGCAAGAAACTGGAATGGTTTATTGGACATTCGATCACATCAAAAACTTTGGCGTCGAATCAGGAGGTGACACCATTCATGTTTTGACCGCAAAATCCGAAACACCCGCCTGCCTTTCCTAAAAGCTCCTAACAATTTC